AGGGAAGTGTGTCACCTGCTTAAGAAATCCAGAGGTGGCTTCAGGGGTGGCGGATCGTAGCTCAACAATGTCCTAGAGGCCACGTAGTCTTCCATCTCTCTGACCTGCATCCTCAGCCTGTCTGCTTCATCCTCTGGTTGTCTTCCTCATGGTTTCGAGATGGTGGGTCCTTGATTCTAGATGTCACTTGGAAACATAAACATATCCAATAGCAGGAGAGGACTGTCCCTTCCTGTGTATGTCTTTTTAAGCGAGGAAATCTTTCTGAAATTCACCTGGAATACTTATCCTATCTCATCAGCCAGAATTGTCTTGTGTGGTTATATGCTGTTTGTTTTTTTTTTAAGTTTATTTATTTATTTTGAGAGAGAGTATGTGTGTGTGTGCCTGCATCAGTGGGGGAGGGGCAGAGAGAGAGAGGGGGAGAGAGACTCCCAAGCAGGCTGCATACTGTCAGTGGAGAGCCTGACATGAGGCTCGATCCCATGAAACGGTAGGATCATGACCTGAGCTGAAATCAAGAGTCAGACACTTAGCCAACTGAGCCACCCAGGCGCCCCTCATGTGCTTATATCTGAACAAGAAGACAATCACTACCAATCCCAATTGGTTGTTTCAATCAGGTTTTATTCCTGAAGCAGGAAGAATGGCTATTGAATAGACAACCAACCAACTATCTGCTGCACCCTTTGCTTAGCAAGATCAAAAAAAAAAAAAAAAGAGGTTTATGGAGCACCTATTAGGTGCTCAGGCTTCAGAGGTACTGACATCGTAGTTTAATGCAACCACTGCCAATTCAGAACCTAAATGCTGGAGATCTTGGCTCACAGAGAGAAAATGCTCAGGAAATGTCCTCTGAAGCAAGGAGCCAAAGGGCAAGGTGGAGGTGCCTGGGCTGGGTTCATTCATGGCCAGGAAGCATCCATCCATCTTGGAAGCAGGGCTTGCCAAGAAGGTGAGGGAGCTCCCCAAGCTTCAAGCTGGCACTCAGCTCCCAATTATGATTCCAGAATTATTAGCTTTGATTCTGTGAGAAAGGAGCACATCAAAGCCAGAATCCTATGAATTAAAATGTTGACTAATCGAGCTAATTATAGTTCAGTCATCTGAATTTTCACACAATGAGCCTGAGTTCTCATGAAAGCCTTCTCTTGGGCAGGAGGAGGCTTTGATGATGAAGCAGGTTTTTATGTCCCATTTCTCCCTACTCTGGCCAGGGAATCCTTACTGGAGTGCCTTTTGCCCACTCAAACCCCTTATGGGTTCTCCTTTCCAAGGTTTCTTGGAAGCTGAAGCAAGCTCAGTTGAGGGCGAGATTATAAGGATGTTGGGAGCAAGATTCTCCTCCCTGGAGAAAGATCTACCAGTGTGTCAGAGTGTCATGATGAGATTCTTTGCGTTTTCAATTTTATTCCAGATTTTAAAATACTTAGGTAATTTACATAGCCTAATTATACTTTTGGGAGAAACTTCTCACTTAACATGTCTCAGTTATCAGATGCAGAATAGTATAATAAATTTTAATCACTGTTTAGATGTTCTGTGCTCCAGAGTTAGTAATATAGACTAAGCCTGATCTATCTTTGATGAGCCACTGAAGACATTTTTTGGTTGTCACAACCAGGGAGGAGGGATGCCACTGGCATCTGGTGTGTGAGGTTAGGGACAGCACTAAACATCTAAAATGCACAGTTTAGACCCCCGCAAAAGAGAATTATCTCACTCAAAACGTTAGCAGTGCTGAGGTTGAGGAACCGTGGGTCAAAAGGTGAAGGTCCACTCAACTTTCATCATCCATTCAAGGTCACGGCAAGTTTGTTTAAGTGGTGTTAACCTGCCACCAAAAGACAAATTTTGGCAGGTTCCTTTACATTGCGCATTTCTGAAAGAGAGCTAGAAATAAAGAAATAGATTAAATCTATGACAATCAGAGTCTCAAGTCTTAATGGAAGATGATTAATTCCTCCTGATGAGTATGCTAGCTCTTCAGGTAGCTGGTCCTTCATGAATAACAATAATGTTTACGAATGCACAGGCCCCTGGTTAGGCACCCTTCCTAGGTGGACAATGAAAGATCTAGATATACAGAGTATGAGCCACTGGGTATGTCCCCAAACTACCTCTTTTTAAGGGAAGTTTTAATTAATTCTCTTATAAATACTACATAAATAATAGCAAGTTTTAAATTATGTAAGGTCTAGGGGTGGCTGGGTGGCTTAGTCAGTTAAACATCCAACTCAATCTCGGCTCAAGTCACGATCTCATGGTCCTTGGGTTCGAGCCCTGCATTGGGCTCTGTGCTGACAGAGCAGAGCCTGCTTGGGATTCTCTCTCTTTCGCTCTCTCTGCCCCTCCCCTGCACACTCACACACTCACTCTCAAAATAAAGAAATAAACTGTAAAATAATAATAATAAATAAAATTATGTAAGATCTAGCTATGAACTAAGGACTCTTTTTATTAAACTTAACTGTTATCAAACTAGGCCTAAGTCAACTAAGGAAGATTTAGGCCTTACTCTTGCTTCCTGACTGTCCTCTGTTATCCAGGGTATCTGGGGCCTGAAGTTAATTTGTCTTTTCAACACACTTTTAACTGTAAAGATGTTCTGTTCTGTCTTGTCCTTTTGGATAAAGACCGTTTAAACATTGTTTTCATGAACATGTGCACATAATTGAAAAAGTCAAATAATATTAAAAGTCCAATAAACTACAGCAGTTGCTTTCCTCATTCCCACCAAGACTTGGTGGGGTTTTTTGCCATTTGCACATTGCCATATTTTATTTATTTATTTATTTATTTATTCGTTCGGTCGGTCGGTCGGTCATTCATTCATTCACTCATTTAAAGTAGGCTCCACACCCAGCGTGAAGCCCAACACAGGGCTTGGACTCATGACTTTGAGATCAAGACCAGAGCTGAGATCAAGTCAGATGCTTAAGTGACTGAGCCACCCAGGTGCCCAGAGCTCTGCCATATTTTAAATAATCCACACATACTATTCTCTTTTGGTTCAACAATTTAGGCGTGTTATCTTCCTATATTGGTAAATGAGGATTTAGTGCTCTTTTTAGCCATCCCCTCCCTAGCCTTTCCTACAACATCATATTATAATTATTGGTTAGATTACTGTTTGGTGTTTACATCATTATACACATGCAAGGAAAGCAGAGCATTGCAGTGTACTATTATTTTTCTTTGTCACTTTTTGTTTTTCCTGATATTGATAATTGCCTTGTTCGTTCACTGGTAACTACTTTAGATTTCTTTCTTTGCAGTATCTTTGGTCAATAGTATTGCACTTGTGACCTAATTTCTCTTTGCAGAGGCCAAATTTAGCTGACATTCTGAATTTTCAGCCCCCAAATGCCCTCAAGCTCAGGACTTACTAAAAAGAGACTCTAACCTCAGATGCAGCCAATTTCCCATCATTGGCTTTATTTTCCCCAAATGGGTCATTCTTCAATCATAGCTTTTCATCTCCATTTAAGAACCTAGCTTCTGGGGCACCTGGCCGGCTCAGTCGGTAGAGCACTTGACTCTTGATCTTGGGGTTGTGAAGTCAAGCCCCTTGTTGGACATAGAGTTCACTTGAAAAAAAAAAGAACCTAGCTCCAGCTAACCTTCTGTGGCTTCTTGCTAGAGGCCTCAACACTACAGTCTCCCCAGTCACACATCTGAGATCAGTTATTAAACAGCCAACACTGATTTCTTCGGAAGGTCTTAGGGGCCAATACCGGCTTCAGTACAGGTGATCACACATTTGGTAGCTTCTAAAAACTAAACACACATGACAGCATTCACAGTTGCCTCTAGGACCTCTGTTTCTCCTTTTGGGCTTTATACTTTGGGTCTACGACCTTTAGGTTACCCCACTAATGGCCTTGGACTGTGAGCAACCTAAGGGTTTGTTTAGAATGCCGCCACGTGAGTTGCGACCCTCTCTGGTTTCTGCTTTCACCGAGCATGGTCTACCCTTCCCCCAGGATTCCTTGCCCTGCTCCTCGTCTTTCTCTACAAGGATCGCTGCTCTTGCCAGGATGTGGAACCCTGATGTTCCTGCCCCCAAGGGTGAGGGGGTGTGTCATAGAAAATGAGGACTCCGATGTTGAGGAGAGCAAACCTCATTTAAAATTTGCTTGGTTCAATTCACCCAGAGGAAAGGCCTCATGCAACAGAGGATCTCCGTCAGAAGAGCTCTTCTCCTGAACTGTGCTTGCTGGCCTCTCAAGATGCTGCAAGCAGCTTCCGGACTTCGCTGATTCAGCCCTGGCCTGCCTGCTTTTGGAGGATGCTTGATCATGTCGTTTCCTGGTGATAACTGGCTTTATTTAGCCTGCCCTGCTTCTGCCTATTCCTGTACCCTCTCTTATGGAATCTCTTCCCATCCAAATGGAGCAGCCGGGTAAGGAAGTCAAACGGTCTATGCTGTAAAGTCTGGAAGTATCCAGATCTCTCCCCAGACTCGGTGACCCCTATTGCTACCAGAAAGATGGACACCGAAACCCTGGCCCAGGATCTTTCCTGAAATACAGCCCTGCTTTTTACGTCTGCATCTCTGCTCACTTCTCAACAGAGAACAAAGGGATTTTTATGGAGGCAGACACACCCCACATTCCCAGTTTACAGAATTTATTTTTAACTAGAACTGCATTTAGAACTATGTGAGCAGCTATGCTAGTAATAATAGACGGAAAAGGGGAAGATGTGGGTGTGTGGATTCATCTTCCTAGGTATGTGTGGCTCCAGTTAATATTTAAAATGGTTTCGAGTTCTCTGAGCACACACAGACTGTCTTATGGGGGAGGTGGTGAGGAGAGAGACAGGTGGGGGTGGGAAACTGACCTCGGATTAAAAATTAATTGTGCTCAATTTTTAAATCAGATCGTTGTAGGCAGATGGCTATGAATTTTAATATGATTTCGTATTTAGCTTTTTTTTTTTTGGAGGAGGAGATTTAAACTCTATTATTCACCAACTAGGCAATTTATGAACTCACATTTCAGCTTTAATTCCACCTCATCACAAGTAGAATTACAGGGCTGGAAAACCTCCACCAATCGTTCTCCTTTGGAAAGAACCACACCCAAAGCCAACCAGGGCAACAGGGATCCCTAACACATTTTTTAAGACTTCTAATTTAAGGTATTCCACAGCCAGTCTCCCTGGGGAGCAAGTTCTGGTGTTCCACTTTGCCGTGCTGTCAGCCTCTTCTGTGTTTCCTCTCGCTCCTCCGTGGGGCTGGATGGACAGGGGAAGCGTCACCCCGTCCCAGGCTTCTTCATCGGCCTCAGTCTCAGCACCTTCAGGGACCCGCATGCCTGTTCCGTGGGCTGTGAAGTGAGGCGTGCTGGATCAGGCCACAGCCCTGGGCCAACGGGAAGGAAGAGGAAACCAGGGAAGGCCCGTCCCAACTTAGAGCCTAGGAACTGACCTGATTTCAGAGGCTGGTCCTACAGCAGTGTCTGGTCTCTTTCAGACACAGGGCCCAAGGAGAAAAGAAAGGCTGGGAATGGAATGGTCTTACAGGGTCCTCTTTGTCATCTGCTGGATGACTGGGGAGAGTCCAGACAGCAGCAATACTGCAGGGTTTGGATCCAGTAGGGTTGTGGTCCTGGAAGAGGTGAACATTCATGCAGGCTACCAGCAAATGGATGAGGGCACGGAGAAGAGTATGTTTTCTTTTGAGGAAAGAAATTGGGGAGAAGCAGGGCAGGCATCAGGACCCGGTATGAGTAGGCTGGTGGTCAGAATAATTCTCAAGTTCTAGAGGGAAGGTGGGATCCCTTCTAGGGGCCATTGCTGACACAGCTCTTCTCATCATGCCCGCTTTCTCTGGACCCCTTATTACATCTTTGGAGTCAGGGACGGTTTTGATGACTTCCTATTTTATTTTATTTTTTTAAGTTTATTTAGTTTGAGACAGAGCATGCAAGCATCTCAGGGAGAGGCAGAGAGAGAGAGAGAGAGAGAGAGAGAGAGAGAGAATTCGAAGCAGGCTCTGCACAATCTTCACGGGAGCTTGACACGGAGTTGGAACTCATGAACCATGCGATCGTGACCTGAGCCAAAACCGAGTCAATGCTTAATTGATTGAGCCACTCAGGTGCCCCAATTACTTCCTGTGTTGGATCTCCAGTCCCATCTCCCTTTCCTGGACTCCAGACCTTTTATATCCAGCTGCCCAGTGGACCCCCTACACTTAAATGTCGAAAGAAACTTACTAGCTTTCCCCAACCTGCTCCTCTTCCTGTGTCCTTTGTCCCAAGGAGAGCACTTACACTCGACTCCTCCTCACCCACCATATTTAGTTTTTTGTCAAATTCAGTTGCATCTGCCTTCTGAATAGCTCCTCATTTTCTCCCCTTCTCGCTTAGTTCTAGTCACCATCACCTCTCAGTAGAATTTGCACTGCAGCCTCCTACCTGTTCTGCCTATCTCTAGGCAAGAACCTTCTTTGCCAACCCTTCCCCCTAAATACAACTTTCATTTTATCTCTCTTTTGCTTAAAATCCTTCACCTGGTGCCCACTGTCCCCAGGATAAAGTACAAGACCTATTAGAGTGACCTAAAGGCTCATGACCTGCCCCACTTGCTGCCCATCATCGCCTCCTGTCCCTTCCTCCATGTCATCACTCAGCCGTACTGAACTTCTTGCAGCTCCGTGAGGAAGCTCTGATTTCTCTGCACTCCACAGCTGTGTACATGAGGTTCTCACTTTCTTCACCCAAGAAACTTTTGCTCATCTCTTGGGATTCAGTTCAAGCTAGCATCTCCTCAGGGGCGCCTGGGTGGCTCAGATGGTTAAACACCCGACTTCGGCTCAGGTCATGATTTCATAGTTCACAAGTTTGAGCCCCGTGTTGGGCTCTGGGCTGACCGCTCGGAGCCTGGAGCCTGCTTCGGGATCTGTGTCTCCCTCTCTCTCTGCCCCTCCCCCATCACACTCCATCTCTCTCACTGAAAAATAAATAAAGCTTAACACCAAAAACGGTATCATCTTCTCAAGGACTCCTTCTCTGGCTAAGTGCTTCTCCACTTGCTCCCACAGCCCAGTCTCCCTCTTAACTTCTGCTTGTCTCCTGTGTGTATCTTCCTAACCAGACTGTGAGCACTTTCAGGCAGAAATCCGGTGTTTTCCACTGAGGAGCAACACAGCAATGGGAAGACCGTGGGCTTTGGAGTCAGCCAGACCTGTGTTTGAACACCAAACCTGGAGTAAGACCCCCCCGGCCTAGATATGTATCATCTCAGAATGTCTGTGTCATTCGCCGTACATTGAGAGCACTTCTTCCTAAGCTGTTGTGAGGATTAAACTTACAAAGTATTTGGCTTTGAGCCTGACACATCATAGATGCTCAATAAATTTCGGGTGAAGGGAGGGTAGGAAGAGAAGCTCTAAATAAACTCATAGGCTCATCATCAGTTGTGACATTGCGAGGGTGACCTATGTGGGTCCCCGTGGCCTTTGCCATCTATGCAGAGAGATGGCTGGCTGAGTAGAATTAAGGCCAGACGCCATCTTGAGAGGAAAAGCTAAGTGAGCAGGAGTGAGGCGACATGCAGGCCGATGGAGAGCAAGACGGGGAAGACCAACAGTGAACGCAGAAGGTCCCTGTGAGATTGCGTGCAGCATTTGACTATGACAGGGCCATTGCTGAAGGCCTGGCTCAAAGGGCCTTGCCACGTCTTACCAAGTACCATAAGCTGACACGAGACAGCGGGAAGCACATTCTCACCCTCACTCTGGGGCTTCGAAAACACACTGGTCCCCACTTCCAGAGGTGTGGCTTCAAGTAGACCCAGGACCGGGAATCCTTAAAAGCTCTTCAGGAAATTCAGGTGTTGGCAGGGCTGAGAATCACTACTCTAAACTGAAGACTGCCCAGGGGCACCTGGGTGGCTCAGTCGGTTGAGCATCCAACACTTGATTTTGGCTCAGGTCATGATCCCAGGGTCATAGGATCAAATCCCACATCAGGCTCCATGTGAAGCCTGCTTAAGATTCTCTCTCTCTCTCTCTCTCTCTCTCTCTCTCTCACTCACACACATACACACACACACACACACACACACAAATAAAATAAAACAAAGACAGCCCAGTCCAGAGAGGGGAAGAAGTGCCATACTTCCGAGACCAGCAGGGACTGAGTTTGCCCCTAAGCCCCCAGAGTGTCCCCTGGGTGTAAATGAAGGAATGCATGGTGAGGACGGACTGCTACTGTCTTACCTGCCCTGGTTGGGAACAGCTGAGCACTAGAGCTGGCCCATTCACAGATGAAGTGGCAGGGGACAGGGAAAGACAAGGGCAGCAGAAATGAGGCTAATGGACACACCTCTTCTGGTCTCAAAACCCCATCCTGCCTCTCCAGCTCCTCCCCTAAAGAAACCAGCTGCTCTTCGGGAGAAAGGAGGTCCTTTGGGAGGTGACAGGCTGGCACACCTTCTTTTCCTTCATATCCCCTCCAACAGCAGAGGAGGTAGCCACTGGGGAGCTGCCTTTCACTTCTCCTGGGGAGCAGCTCAGAGATGGCAGTTTAGAGCTCATGGCCATTCTAAGAATGTAAGGAATTGTTTTGGATAAGAAACGAAGCCCCAGCCAGCTGCAGCAGACTCTTAGTTTGAAGAGGTCATGGCCAAGAATGAGGAAAAAAGTAAGGGAGAAACTCATTAAGAAACTACAATCAGCTGACATTTATTTGAAACATGCCCAGTTCTCTGTGGATTTCCACAATCTGTATATGTAAAAGGTCACCAGGATGATGATGACTATTACCGTTCACAAGAAATGGCCGCACCTAAAAGTGGCATCACAGAATGACTTCTAGTAAAAGCTGTCCTTTATTTTATCACACCGGTCCTCCCTAGATGCGACAAGTATTTGATCATGTCAACCTGATAGAAAATCATTGATCAAGGGCTACATGCAATGCAAACAGCCTCTTTCTCAGCCTCTGCATGGTAAAAAATAAAATAAAATAAAAAGAGAGGGCCATGGATCAGTCAGAAGTCAAAGCAAAATCTCCTCCGCTGGGTTTTAACGGCAGAGGCATAGCCCAGCGGGGGCGGCGGGGAGAGCAGTTGAGATAAAAGAGTAACAAAGATTAACCTGTTACCAATCTTTTTTTTTTAAATATTTTTATTTATTTGTAGGAGAGAGAGAGAAAGACATCGTGAGCAGGGGAGGGTCAGAGAGAGGGAGTCACAGACTGAAACAGGCTCCAGGCTCTGAGCTGGCAGTCAACACAGAGCCTGACGCGGGGCCCGAACCCACGAACCGCGAGATCATGACCTAAGCGAAAGTCGACGCTTAACCGACTAAGCCACCCAGGCGCCCCTACCTGTTACCGATCTTGATGTGTCCCCACCTCTCCAGCCTCACCCCACCTTCATCACCTTCATACACCTATTTACAAACCCACACCTCCTCCCACCTTGCTGTGAACTCAGTGCTGTGCAAAACTAAACCGTTTGTGTCCACAGAGTAGTCCCTCCCCACCCAAAGCAGGAAATTTTGTAAAGAGGTTCGTGATCCCGAAAGGTACCTAATGGTAGAAAGACCTGGAAATAAAGGGTCTCCCGTTCCCTGTGGGCAGAGACTCAACGTAGACCCTTTTCATTCAATCATCTCTTCCTTTTTGGAAATTAACAGCTCAAGTCTCTATTGATTTCACATGCTGTCCCTGTGATGCAGTGGGGATTTCACACAAGTAATGAGGACAGGCTGTTCTGTGATTATTTAACCCTTCTGGTCCTTTATGTTTGTAGTTTTCTCTAAAGTGAAAGCAACTCAAATACATGAATCTATGAGAGGGAAGAAAACCAACTCCTGCATTTCCTCTTGTGCTTTAAATATATGTACTGAAATATACCATAGCAATAAGGGGATTTCAGTCGGTGTCTCTACAATGTACTCTGAACCACGGATATTCTTGTGAGGGAGCAGGCTCCGTAATGCAGTAGGACATTCAGTAAGCAAGAGGACAGGGCAGGGGAGGGGGGAAATGAATAAGCTCCTTAATTTTCTTTCTTGGGTCTCTGCCTCTTTCTCTTTGAGTAGCCTGGGGCTGTGCTTCCTCGAGATGATATCAGCTTGCTGAGGGTAGAAATTATGACCGGGGACTAAATCAGGCACCAGGACTTCGGTGTGGAGAGCTGGAGGATGAGGGAAGAAAGGTAGAGCTACTGTTTAAAGTAAAGTGAATGGTGCTTGGGGCGCCTGGGTGGCTTAGTCGGTTAAGCGTCCGACTTTTGCTTAGGTCGTGATCTCGCGGTTCGTGGGTTCGAGCCCCGCGTCGGGCTCTGTGCTGACTGCCAGCTCAGGGCCTGGAGCCTATTTCAGAGTCTGTGTCTCCCTCTCTCTCTGACCCTCCCCTGCTCACGCTGTCTCTCTCTCTCTCTCTCTCTCTCTCCTAGAAATAAAAATATTAAAAAAAAAAAGTGAATGGTGTAATTGTCAGGATCAATCAACTACTTTATACAAAACTGAATTGTCAGGGAGGATTCTTCCCTCTGCTTTGAGGAAGGAAGAAGAAAAGTCCTTGATTCCTCATGATTCCAAGGACAGGGAAGGTCTTCTAAATTAAGGGAGTGGGGATAACAAACGAAGGCTTCCTACCCAGGCCACTGAGCAAATGATCAGCAGGCACACCTGCTGGGCGCAAAAGCCGGAGGTGGGCTGAGGTGAGGTGCCACTTCTGCCGTGGACTTGGAGGTTGCTGGGTGGAGAGGTCACCGTGACATCCTGGCTCGTGCTACGCTCAGGTAGAGTCTCAGTCTCACGCTATTACCAGTTAGCCACATTTGTCTCTGGAATCCTCCTCCCCAGGCTTACCTTGTGTGCGCATGGGGCGGGGGGGAGCATCCGTGTGTGGTCAGCATGTTTTGTTCCTGTGGCTCCCAGCCTCTGCCCTCCCCGTCCATTTCCCCCTCCCCGAGCTTATCTGCCTTAGTTCCTTCTCTCAGTTAGACTCTGAGCAGGGCCGTGGAAAGAGCACCCGGTTCTGCCCTTACTGGGTGAGTTTTGGCAAGTCATTCCATTTCTTTGAGTCTCAACTTCTATAAATAAGGATAAGAGTAACACTTGTCTTGTATTGCGAGGATTAAGTGAAATGAAGAATGAGAAATTAACTACAGCGAATTTCCACAGAGAATGTCGCACACACCAGGCCCCGTGTTGAGTGCTCTCTGTACTGTATCCGACTTCCTCCTTCCAGCAGCCAGTAATGCAGGCATTTTTCTGCTCATTTACAGGTGGGGAAACGGAGCCTTAGAGAGATTAAGTAATTTGCCCAAGTCATTGCTAGTTCATGGAAGTGTCTGGATTGGAATTCGGTTTCGATAGTCTTCCTGTAAGGTCCATGCTGGTAACCACAGTGTCCTCCCCCACCCCCCATAAATGCCCCTGTAAAATGCTATGTCAGCAGGAGACCATTTTATTAGATACGGCTAGTACACAGTGCCGATGATTATTAGACAGATTTGAAGGTACCAAAGATTATATCATTTACATATAAAAAATGCTGAGCAGTTAATTTATATAGAACCACAGGCTTTTACAGGTGAAAGGGTTTTTTGAGATGATCCAGGCTTGTGGTTTGCAAACTCTGCTTCTCATAAGCCCCATACCAAGCTTTCAACCCTTTTAAAATTTATTATTATTTCTAGGTAACATTTTGTCTGAAGAATAATTCTAGAGCTTACTCTTTTCTAATTCACTATCATTTTATGGTGGCCTTTTTTGGGGGTGGGGGCATTTTACTGAAGCCATAAGAGATAAAGAGATGTGGTGTTTCCTGAATACTAGTCCAGGTCTCTCTTTACTCCTCAATCCTATTTCTTTTTTTTTTTTTTAATGTTTTATTTATTTCTGAGAGAGGGAGAGAGACAGCATGAGTAGGGGAGGGTCAGAGAGAGAGGGAGATACAGAATCTGAAACAGGGCTCTGCACTGGCTGTCAGCACAGAGCCTGACACGGGGCTCGAACCCACGAACCGTGAGATCATGACCTGAGCCGAAGTCAGACGCTTAACCAACTGAGCCACTGAGGCACCCTCCTATTTCTTGATACAATGTGTCCAATGTAGTAAAGCTCTAAGAATATTAAAAATTAACAATTGATATATCTATCTATCTATCTATCTATCTATCTATCTATCTTTGTCAAAGGCACAAAGCCAAAAAGGCACATAGGTCTGGCTGATCTAAGCAAGGCCAGTGGTAATGAGGCGTGGTGACTAGTATAAAGTAATGAGACATGGTACCAAATAATTTTTAAAAGATTTGGAGGGGCTGGAAACTGATGTCAGTGATGACTATGATGAAGTTGTCTCCTATAGAAGTAAGCAGAAAAATACCGTCCCATGAGAGTCTTAAATTCAAGGTCCATTCATTCAGCCATCATTGGTGAAATCTCTCTCTACCAGGCACTATACTAGGCAGAGGTACCACAAAGATGAAGAAGACTGTGTCCCTGCATTCACAAAGCTGACATACTAGAGGGGGTGAGGTGGCAGAGGCTTTGGTTTGGCGAGAACAGTGACAGAGATTTACAGTGAGCCCTGGGGATACTTTGTGAATGGACATCTTATCCTGCCCGTAGCGGGGAGAGTGTGGTGGTCAGGTAATCTCTCTGGAAGATATAACATCTGGGAAGAATTCAGATTCAAGGAGATTGACAGCAGAGGACATTGCTGTAGGCTTAGGGAGACTAGAATTTAGCTTCTTTCTACTTTTTCTGATGAAGCAGAGATGGGCCATCCAGCAAGGCTCCTTGACCATAAGCCACAAACAGATGAACCCAAACCACATGGCCTCAGGGGTGTTGCTAACTAGAAGTTCTGCTTTCAATTACTATAAATAGTTTCTTAAGATTATTTCTTCTCATAGAGATGAAAACAGCTATTCCTCAGAAGCAGAGCTGGGTGGCATTTTCCTCAGTACTTACTAAGATCTCTCCTCTTGTGTATGATTTCTAAATAAGTTTATGTATGGGAGCCACACTACATAGCAGGTAGATGTTTGACACAGAATACAAAAACGACCTGTACTAGCTAGGAATTTGGACTAAATGAATTTGTACCAACCCAAGTTGCTGAAACAAATGGGCTCCAAGATATAATGGCTGAAATCCAGCAACATTTATTACTCATGAAACAGGGCAAATAGTCCAAGACGTCAACAGCTTTCTTCCACCTGAGGAAACATTCCTCTCCCTGGGATTTCATTTCCTTAGGGCCTCTGTCTGTCTGTGTCCAATTAGGGGAAAGTAAGAGTGAACACCTTCCTAAAGAGCGACACTCAGGACTGGAACAAATCAGTTCCCATCAAGATTTGTCATGTGGTCACATATGGCTTCTGAGGCTGGTGGGAAATGTAGTTCCAGGCTGAGCAGATGTTTACAGCCACAACTCTCTTGACACAGATGAGGAAGATTTTGGTGGGCAGCTACTGTCTCCATCACATAAGTGGAAAGAAAGAAAGCAAACTATCAAAAATA